GTACATTTCATCTGAGATTTTTTTTAAAAAAGAAAAAACATGCACCAGACTCTGTTTGCTTTCAAGCTATTTGCCTTTGATGAGCAACTTTAATCAGTTGATATGTTTTTCTGTTCTTTGCGTTCTGGTCTTAAAATTAATCAATCTCCTGGAAAATGTCTCATTGACATAGTAAACAGTTTGTTTCTTATGGTGTGGATCCAAACTCAATGCATCTATCCATTGATATCGACGATAAATGTTAAAACCATTGATTTTTTTTAGGTTTGTGGCAAAAAATTTTTTTTGAAAATTTTCCTTTTCAGTATTTTGTCTTGTTTTCCAGAAAACATATCTAAACATCCTTAAAACAAGATATATTTACTTGACTAGCAAAATAGTGAATGATATTAAGACATCCCTAGTGAAAAAAATACTATGTACTTGTACTTAGTATATTGCAAATACATTTACATATTTATATACTTAATAAAAATACCTTGCAGTTGTACTTTTGATATACTAAACTGGTATACTTAAAGTCTGCTAAATTGGAACAACTACTTTTGTGCTTAATGCACTTTAATTGTGCAGAAGTAGTGCTGAAGTCCAACTAAAGATACGCTGAAGAATATTTGATTGTGCTAAAGTGGAACTGTTGCAAGTATACTTCAGGTACACTTTAAATATCTTGCATTTAAAGACTGATATTATACAGAGATCATACAATCCTTATTAATAGTGATATTAAAATACATTTTAAGCACAATATTAAGAACTGTGCATTGTGCAATAAAGAAATACTCCAAATAAAGTTTACTTATAATTTTATATCAGTAAGTCTTAAGTGATATGTCAATAAATCTAATGGATTTGAAGTATACTTATATGAAATAAATGCATTTTAAATCAATTTATTTTTTTTTTTTTATATATTAATTATGGCATAGGTATTTTTTACTAGGGATGATTTAATATTTATCATACCACTTTGGCTTTGTTTTAATCATAAACCTCACTAGATTTTGTTAGATTTATGCTTAATGCAAAGAAGAATAAACATCAAGATACATCATCTGAAAATAATCATATTAATATTTGTTAATAATATAATTGTATTTGATGTGGTAAAAGTAGGCTACCAAAAACAAGAGTTTACTGGAAAACAAGACAAAAATTACTGATTACAATTATTTTTTGCAGTGTGATCGGATGATGGGGTATATATATATAGCTGGCAACTAACAGGTGAGCTGCAACCCTTTTCTTTGTAAAATTGGTGGCGATTCTCAGTGGAATAGTGACATTTCACCTCTCTCTTTTAAAATTAAATAGCACATTTATTGTTATAATTATTGGGTAATCTTTAACTCTGTACCCTCTACTGAAAAGGGTTTTGTAGAGGTCTATGGAGTTTATCAAAACCCTTTTCAGCATTGACCAGACTTGATGATGTCATTACCCGTCCCCTTACAGTGGCAATAAAATGTCAAACCTAACAAAATTTCCCAGAAACCATCAACCATCACAGACCTGGACGTACTAGAACAGAAACTGCAGTGGACTGAAGCAGAGGTTCCTCTAATGATAATCATTACCTAGCACATATCTTTCTGCTTCATTTAAGCCATTCTTAGCAGAGGGATCTATCATAACCACCAGCTGCAAGTTTGTGGCCTTCGTGATTTATTCAGATTACCATTTCACTTTTATGCACTCCAGTCATAAAGGCACCTTGAACCTTTTTAATTAAGATCATCTAATTTAGAAGTAAACCCATCATTAATGCAGCACATTCATTATGGGATTCATTTATGTGCCTTTGCAGCGCTGTCCTGAGAGCTGTTCCCCAGTACAGATGCAAATAACACTCGTAAACAAGCACAGAGGCTCATGGGATAGAAGAGAAGAAATTAAAGCTCTTTTGGCTTTGTCTGTTTTAAACGGGTCAGCTAAATCAAACTTCACAGAGGATTTGATTTTTACTGTGTTTGTACAGAAAATACCCAAGAATGCTGTTTATAAAGAGTTTGTCTCGATCAGCTCCCTAGATTGAGGAATACATTTTTTTATTGTAATTCTGTCATCATTTTCTCACCTTCATGTTGTTCCAAACCTGTATGACTTGTTACTTTCTTCTGTGAAACCTGAAAGATATTCTGAAGAACATTTCAACTGTTTTTGAACACAGTGAACGTCAACACTGGCCCCATTTGACATTCATTGTGTGGACAAATAAAATAAATAAATATAATTTTTATATATATTTAGAATTTTTATGTCCTATTTATATATATATATATATATATATATATATATTCTAATAATAATTATAATCATATATACATATATATTTATGCCTCTGAACAATTAAATCTTGACCAGAGCAGATTTTTATCCAATTAATCCTGTTTTCTTCTCCTTTTTTAAATATGATTACCATAGTTTTGTTTGCATTTTTCAGTGTAAACATCATTCACTGCTACTAGTCAATTGCAATTTCATTGTTCCCATAAAATTTCAAGTGCTTGTTTTAAATTTTAAAAGCCACACTTATAAATTCATGACCGTCCCAAATCACAGCGCCATCGTTACTCATCGCTGTTCAGACTGAAAGCTTGGAAACCCTTTTCTCGCTCTGAGACAACATTTATAATCCGTAGGATCCCTAATTCACAACTGATGTGAAATCCTAAAGGGGTTGTGTTCATAACTTCATAACCTCATGAGGTGAGGGATTCTGTAATTATTCTTCCATGATTATTCGGTCTCATTAGCCTGCTGACCCTCCTGTGTGTTGACGTGAAACATCGCCTTCAAGAGTCCTCGTGCAAAATCAGTGTTTACCAGACATCGGCAGCACAGACAGAAAACTCTCAAGTCTTTTCTTTATGCAATAACACTTGAGACAAAAGTGGTCTGAGATGCATGCAAAGAAAGGTCATACAGATGATGATTAATGCCACCGAGCTAGGGAATACAGAAAGAAAACTAAATGTCACGGAACGGATGTTCAGCCACAGAGCGATTTAAAAAAAATAATAATAATAGATATGCAAGCGATAACCTACAGTCAGCCGGTCACTGTCACCAAATAACAAGTAAACACCTGAAAAAGCCTATTTAGCAATAATGACTGGCTGATTATTTGCAATAATAATTTATGCAAAAGACCACTGAAAAATAGGCGAATCAGAACATAACACGACTGTGACGTTACAGTCGGGATCACTAATAGTTACGCCCCCAACATTTGCATATACCCGCCCATGTTCTATGCCAGCCGCCAGCCGAACCTGCACAGCCGAATCATCAGAAGTTGTGCAGATATTGTGAAGAAACAAGCGAGGATAATAGAGAAAATGGCAGATCATGGAAATAAATGTTATGTTCCAGGCTGTGCAGGGGATGTGATGTGCAGGGATGGGTTGGTG